GGGGGGGGGGGGTAATGGGGTAATTCGGCTTAGAGTAACTCAGTAACACGACGAAACACAACGCAAGCGTTGCTTCACGTTGGTTTTCAGTGAGGCCGTGGAATCACTCCGGTCGAGCAGACCCGTTCTTGCCGAAGCATGGCGAGCCCACACTTAAACTGACTGACTGTTGTCGGAATACTGAAACGCTACTCAATTTTAAGTCGTGCTTAAGTATAGTTCTATCTCTACAAATTCTTTGTAAAATGACAGAGATGGCAAGATATTTGAGCACGACGTTTTCAGTATTCCGGCATGTGGCCTGATCAATTTGTTTTGATATTTGTTCTAAAACATTAATTAATTAATATCAATTATTTAATAGGCATTGAGGAAATTGCTGTGCTATTATTAAATACCCTAATTTCCGGGTTCGTCCTGGCAACAACAAATGATTCGGAGTCGCGGAGAACCTAACGACGCGCAGGAGAAGGAACGTGGTGGTTTTTAGCCAGTAAGAGTCTGACACTCCCTCCCGCCACACCCAGGCGGGAGAAGTCATTCGATGATTTTCCCCCCTTAAAAAACACCCCTGTTCCAAATTTCATCTCGGTTCCTTCAGCGGTTTTAACCTGAAGGAGTAACAAAGGAGGATAAGTTAAATGTGTAATCTTTTCACCGGCTCAGACGACGCAAGGGTGAAAAAATATAATCTATTCTATTTGACGTCATCACTCTACTGCATTTTCAGAGATAATTCAAATCGAAACTACCAATATCGCTGAGGGTAACATGTTAAAGAGCAGCTTTTTCGTTTTTCGTACCCAGAAATCCGAGACCGCGTTCGGGGCTTTGATTGGTTGGTTTATTGGAGGCGGCCAATCCGAGCGCCGAACGCGGTCTCGTTTCGATCTCGTTCAACGAAAAAAACCTCGTACTAAGCCCTCTGGCATGGTAACTTCTCTCAATCAATGTGTACATTTGAATTTTAAAATCTATACATTCGTAAAGGTAAACCGAAGTTATCTACGTACTTTAACAACGTTCACCTCACTGAATGAGGTCTGAGATTCTAATCTAACTTTCAAATCGTTTGCATATGTATGAGTGGAGCCCATCTTATTGTAAGGTCTCTATTTACGAAAGGGATCCATGAAAATTACTTAGGTATCCTGATTTCTGTAATCGACCTCCATTTCTGTATTCAAATGAGAAGATGAATAAGTAAGCATATTCTTGTGTGTATTCACGTCGACTGTGTGAGTCAAAGTTAAAGTCAAAGCATTTATTTCAATTAAACCATAATTTGGTACTTTTGTAACGTCAAAAAATATAAAATAAATAATAGTCTGTCAGTCAGTCCGTCAGTGAAGCTAGGTGAAGCTAGGTGCTCATTCCAAAATGTAGATTCGAATGGAGAAGAACGCAAGAAACTGCATTCGTTACTCTTTTTAAAAAAGTAT